AAAGAATATAAAATCCTATTCCTAAGAGGAAAAATAGTAATTCTAGGATATGAGCTATAGAAGGAATATTTCCATAATTCCTATTCTAACTTTTCTATTCCAACTGGGCTTCTACTGATTCTTGACCATTTTGTTATCTTATGAATGCATATAAAATTCCAGGAAGCTCTTCACTACAAACTTCCCATGTTTTTTTTAATACGATATATGAGAAATGTGGTTGTTCGTAATCTCCAACTCCCAAGTATCTCTATCACCCATTGACATTATCTGCAAACAAACACATCCTAAATCAAAGAGAGATCAGCCACATTTAGAGGGTGTTTGAACTCCATTTTTATGAAAAAAAAATGCATTTTAGAATAGTAGATTGATGGGAAATGTGTGGTTGAATAATAAGAAAAAGTTTTTGATTTACATGTAATATTATTTTAATGAATAATGTGATTAAAAAGAAGAGTGAGAAAAATGTATTTTGAGAAGAATGAGAATCAAACTAGGCCTTAGCATATAATTATTGATATTCTCCACATCACTTTTCAACACGGTATCCATCCCATGGACTTGTACTACTTAGCCTGCCACTTATTTTAATTATTAACTTTTTTTTGTTATCCTTGCGATATCGGTTTATTAAGAAATAAATAAGTTTTCTTACGGGTAATCTATTATCAGTGTCAGTACATATACCTAATTATGAATTTCTTTCTTAAGTTAAACAGGCAAAGAAAAAGGACATAACCCAAAATGTAAACTAAACAAATTCTTGTCTAATTTGATGTTGTTATTCAGTTCGAAGTTACATCATGATTTATAAAGTTAACAGTGCTGAAAGAACTAATGTGTCGACTTTTTCTCAGGTATCCAAAAGCTATTGAGATTTATGAAGAGATAGCCCGGCAGTCACTCAATAGCAACTTGTTGAAGTATGGAGTTAAAGGGCACCTTCTTAATGCTGGCATTTGCCAACTCTGCAAGGGTGATGTTGTTGCAATCAACAATGCTTTAGAGCGATACGAGGTACATCTGTTTTTTGGTCTAGATCTGTCCCTGTTTCCATGCACATGCTAAGGATATGCTTTTGAATTCTCTCTTGTAGGAACTGGATCCTACCTTCTCTGGAACACGTGAATACAAATTGCTAGCGGTATGTTGTGGATCACAAGCATATCTCTAATTTTTCCATTTTCATGACGCCTTTAATTTTTTTTCTTTTTTTCCCCCCATCTTAATAGGAATGCATGTTGTCCAATTATTTGGTAATGGTTTCATATTGTTTAAACCACCCATGTGTGGTTTTATTTCTTTTCGTAATCTTTTACTGGTATGGTTGTAGATGAACTACTTGTGTATCATTCGCTTTATCTTACCTGCCAAAGTAATAGATTAATATGATAAATTGCTTGGTAGACATTTACGTATCTGTTGATCACAGGATCTGGCTGCTGCTATTGATGAGGAAGATATTGCCAAGTTCACTGGCGCTATCAAGGAATTTGACAGTATGACGCAGCTGGTAATTGTTATGCTATTTAAGTTATTTTTTGAACTTGCTACAAATTTCAAATTGAGAATTTGGATTTCGTTGGCGTGTTTCTTATATGCATTTATTCAAATTAATAGCTCTATAAGCTTCAGGTGCATGGCTTAGTACAATTTATTTTTTATAGTGTATTGTGTGTGGAATAGTTATTTTAATTATCTTGTTGCTAGTTAACCTTAAAATCAGCTTGTTACTTATTTTTGCCTATAAGTCCCAAGATTACTGGACTATCATGTGTTGTTAATGAGATTTAGCAAGAAAGGCAAACTTTTAGTTGAACCAGTTATTTTAAACTCTATTCTCTATTCTAATATATTAGGGCCCTTTTAGCTAAAAAGTCAAAAGCTGCTTTTGAGACTAAAAAGCTTCTTTTAAACATGTTTGGATAAATTTTTGGAAGTAATTTGTTGGTTAGAAGAGTTTTTAGGAGAAGTTCGCCTAAGGTAACTAACTCAGGACATAAGGGTTTGGAAATTGAGATGGTAGTGAGAGTAGAGAGGAGGAGGCTGGCTTCGATTGATTTCAAGTGTGAAATAATTCAATGATAAAATTTGTTATCCCCATGGAGTAGGTCCTGACGAGTGATGGTATTCATGGTTCATCAGTCACTGATAGAGACAGCGGTTTTGAGTGCACCATATCTTGTAACCGTGTTGAATGGACTTTTAGTTATAAATGTGATATTTGGATAATTGTGGGCAACTATTCCTACATCTCATTTTTAATTGAAGTCGACTGCTACCTGAAATATACTACACATATTTATGAATTGTTCTTCAATCTGACGCTAGCATGTTTGGTTTGTTTCCTGAACTCCATTCTACTATTTCCCATAAGTTACTTTCCTTTTGCTGACTTGCATAATTGGAAAATTAGATTTTAGATGAAAACCTCAGTATTGGGGTTCTAAAAATCAATCTTGATGGCTTATCTGTTGTAACAAATATTCAATATTTGATCTCTTCCGTCGTGAAAGATGCACAGTTGTTTTACTTGATGAAAATGCATTATACAGTTAAAAAGATCTGCTTTTGGGCTAGTGGTGAATCTTGAAATGCATGCCTCCAATCAGGTTATTGATGGCAACTAAGACAATGGAATTTTTAATTGTTTTTTCACTCATAAATCTATTCATGCAAGGCTTGGTATGGTCATATGGAGAAGTGATTAGATCGGTTTCAGGTGCACTGAGCTAACTCCCTTAAGAGTCAGTTATGAAGAATCAAATTCTTAGATTTTCTTCTAAAGGAAATTGATTTGCTAATATAGGGGATGAATGGCAGGAGGAGAGTGTGTCCAGATATTTTTAATTGACTTGCACCCGTATTTTTGTTTCCTGATTTATAAATCTAGGGTGAATTGATGTTTGATTATAAGTGATTTATCGATTCAGTGTTAACCGGATTTATCGATTCAATGTTAACCGCGTTTTACTGTCATCATGTTTTGATTGACAATAGGATGCTTGGAAGACGACTCTTCTATTAAGAGTGAAGGAGGCCTTGAAGGCCAAAGAGCTGGAGGAGGATGATCTTACTTAAATTTGCTTTCTCAAATCCCACATTATTTCTGCTGATGATTTTGTGGTTGATGGTTGTGTCTATTATGAATTATTACTTTGGGTTTGTGTGTTTATTACAAACTGGATTTTCTTATTTGGAGTGAATTCGAATGCACCCTTTACCATGAGTTTGTAACCGTTGTCTTTTTTATACTTCATCATTTTTTTGTTTTCAGAAACTACTTACAGCTCTTTAATGTATGTTTGTTTTCTTTCATTTGGAGGAACTAATTACAACTCATTCTCTCCGCCACTTCCGAGGTATTAAAGCCCGATTTTCCACTCACTTATTACTTTTCTAATTATGATTTCGTTTTAAATTATACAAAATAGATCAAGCCCTTGTTTGGGCTCCATTAAAAACACATTTCGTGAAAAATAAAAAAATAAAAAAAAGGTGTTTTTGAATAGTAATATTATGTAGAATATGTTGTTAAAAAATAAGAAAAATTTTGAATTTACGTATAATATT